GGAGATGAGGAGGTGCGAGAGGCGATGCTGACAGCGGGGAGGAGGGAGGGTGGAGGGGGCTCAGCCCCAGGCAGGACCAGACCCATCGGGGCTCATTCGTGGCGTCGCGTCGGGCTCTGCAGAGGATTTTTCTGCTGGAGAGAAAAGGAAAAGCGAGGTTGCGGCTCTGGAAGGGTTTAAAAGCCCAAAGGCTGCTCAAAGCAGCAAAACACATCCTCAGAACTTCTTCCACCGTGGTTTCTGCTGCCCCGGGGTGTGAAAAAGCTGTAGAAGGAGGGTCACCACATCTCCCGTTGGGCTTGGGAACCTCCCATCAGAACCACCAGAGGCAGGGCCAACCCTGGTATGTTCCTTCGTCCCTTCAGAAAGACCCTTTTCCCCCCTTGCTGCCCCTTTTGGTCCTTCTTCATTCTTCTTACCTGCTCCTTCCCATCATCTTCTGTCCAGTGTTGGGCACTCCTCCCTCAGGCTCTCGTTTGCCCTTTTGGCTGGTGTGTGTCCAGCCCGATGGGTGGAGGAAGGTCAATGTCATCACTGAGACGGGGACACAAGGACTGCAGGGCTGCCTCAGTCGCCAGCGGGATGAAGAATCAAATCCCCCTGGATTTGCTCTTCCAGGCAGAGGAAGGGCAGGAGGGTGACCGTGAGGACCCAGCATGGATGTACTGAGGTCAAGCCATGGTTGACCAACCCAGGTGCCTTGGCTGATGAGCTGATGGCTGTGTGGGTGGAAAGGAGAGCAGCGGATGGCATTCACCTCAACTTCAGCAAGGTCACCACCATCTTCTAGTGGCTCCTTGCAGCCAAACCGGTGAGCTATGGTTTGCAAACAAGGAATTTAAGACGGGGAGAAAGGTGGTTCGTGGTGCCTGGGACTGTGGATGGACCCAGTTACCAGCCCTGGAGGGACTCTGCCCCATCAGCAAGGTTCTCCTAGGCTCCCTGGCATGATAAGGTCAAACACGGCACTTGCGGAGGTGCTGCTGGCTCTGAAAAGTTCAAAAAGTGGATGTAGAAGAGGGGCGTTCTTCTGTGGTTTGCTCCGGAGAGCCCAAAGCCCTGGTGTTTGCCCAAGGTGAGATCATCTCCTCTGGGTACGCTTCTTCTGCAAAACAAGCGCAGAGAGAAGATAATGACCTGCTTTGGGCTTTGGCACTGTCCTGGGGCTCAGAGAGATCCTCAGTCCCCAGATCCCTGGATTATGTGACACAGTCAGGGTGTTTGCTGGCGGGGGGTTATTTCCAAGCTCCTCTGCAGAGCTTCAGGCACACGCATCTTCTTATCCATCTCCAAGAGCATCGTGAGGGAAGGTAAGTGAGGGTCGTGGTCTTTCAGGTCCCAGGTTGGAGCTCCAGCAGCAGACTCATGAGTGGTGCTGAGCTACCCACCTCCCATTGTTTTCTCTTGCAAAAAAAAAAAAAAGAAACAGCTCCTATCTCCATCTCATGCTCTACCTGCAGGGTCCTGGGCTTCAGTTCTTTGTGATAATCGGGACTTTCCACCAAAACCAGGGAGCTGGCTGTCCTGTGTCCTCACCACACAACAGCGGAGAAGGGAGGTCTGGAGATCTTGGAGAGCATGTGCAGAGGTTTCCTCACCCCATTGACCACGAAGGGCTCCTGGACAAGGACCAGCTTTCCTCTAAAGAACATTTAAGGAGCTCACTGGTGCTGAGATAAGGCTGGTCCAGAAAATGATTTTTTTTCCCCCCCAAAAAAATATTTTCAAGGAGAGATTGCTCAGCTTTGGGGGTTGCCCATTTCCATTCAAAGGCTCTAGTAACAGGCTAAAGACCTGGGAAAAGTTTTTACAGTTAAACCAGCATATCAGGAGGGAGGGGAAACCACCATAAACCTCTATGTGAGGTTTCATCGTCAGGAAGAAGTCCCAGCAAAGGGGGAGGAAGCGGGTGGTTGGCAAATGCCAAGGAGGGGATGAATAATCAACTCAAAGCACCGTGTTTCTCCGTGTTTCAGGTTGAGCCGGACGATGTCCGAGTCCCAGGCAGAACGCTAACAAAGGGGACGCAATGCAGCACCAAGGTAAAGCTACTCGGGTGTGTAACCTCCCCACGGCTTTTCACGCAGGTTATTGATGAACATCCAGAGGTGAGCTGGAGGACCACGCACCGCGCGGTGCCATGGGATTTTACAGCTCGAGCAGAGCTTTGCTCTCGCAGCAGCCGTTTGTTTTACCCGCCCTGTGAGATGACTTTTGGTAAGCTGTTTCTAATTAATCTGTGCCTAAACTCTTCCCTTAGATCTGATTGTCTCCAAGCAGGTCCCACCAGAGGGAGATAAGCTGTTTCTAATTAATCCGTACCTAAACTCTTCCCTTAGATCTGGTTGTCTCCAAGCAGGTCCCACCAGAGGGAGGGTTTTCCACCTGGGAGACACCTGCCTGCTGTAGAAGAAACCTCCAGCAAGGACCTCACCACGAAACCACATGTCCAGCTGATGGCAGAAAGCAACTGCACCCCAGTGACGGAGTTCAGCCTCACGGCGTTCACGGAGGACCCAGTCACTCAGGTCATCCTCTTCCTGATGTTTCTGCTCATCTATCTTGTCACCATCCTGGGGAACCTCGGGATGATGGCGTTGATCAAGGCCAGCCCCCAGCTCCACACCCCCATGTATTATTTCTTGGGTAATTTGTCTTTTATCAACCTCTGCTCTTCCATCGTCATCACCCCCAAGATGTTCATTGACATTCTGCCAGAGAAGAAGAGCATTGCGTATGCCGGGTGCGTGGCTCAGGTGTTCGTTTTCGATCTTTTTGGGATGACTGAATGCTTCCTGCTGGCGATGATGGCATATGACCGTTACGTGGCCATTTGCCATCCCCTGGTCTATCCCCTCGTCATGTCCCCAAAACGCTGTTTCCAGCTGGTGGCCGGGTCCTATCTCGTGGGGTTGACCAATGGTGTGGGACAGACAATCAGCCTGTCCAATCTATCCTTCTGCAGCTCCAGCGTCATCGACCTGTTCTTCTGCGACATTTCCCCTCTGATAGCCCTCTCGACCTCCAACACCACGCTCAGCCTCATTGTCCTAAGAACCGCAGCGTGTTTATTGGCTTTTCCCAGCAGCCTGGTTGTCCTGGTCTCCTACGTGGCCATCGCCTCTGCCATCCTGAGCATCCGTTCAACCGAGGGCAAGCGCAAAGCCTTCTCCACCTGCGCCTCCCACCTCACCACTGTGAGCATCTTCTACGGGACAGCGCTTTTCATGTACTTAAAGCCCAGCTCGGAGAGCTCAAGAGAAGCAGATAAATGGGTGGCGGTGTTCTACACGGTGGTGACGCCCATGCTGAACCCCTTCATCTACAGCCTGAGGAATAAGGAGGTGAAGGAGGCTTGGAGGAGACTCACAACAATGAAATGATCTCGAATGGTGTAAGCTTATGGCAAGGTAGGGTGGAGGTGTGGGTGATATTCTCAGTTTGTGATTAAATATCTCTGATTGATCACTTTTTGGGGGTCTTCTGCACTTTGGCTTAGAAGCTGCCCTGGCTGATTCCACATCCTGGTTCAGGATGTTGATAATTTCACTCACTTCTCCAAACGTCGATAATTATATTTAGTAGTTAATTTAACCTCATGAAGACACAGGTAGAGAATTAGAAGCATGCGCTACTCCTCGTTTAAAACTTTGCCCTCTACTGTCTACTCCATCCCGTGTATCAGGCCAAATTAAACCAGCTGAACACAGCCAAAATTTCTGCAGTTGGTTGGACTCAAGCGACGAGCTGTGTTGTGTGTTGCTCTCCCTTTTGCTCAGCAAATCAGAGTAAACAGAGGGTGAATTCCACTATTCCACTAAATGAAATTCCATTTCAAGAAGCCTTGACAGTCATTAAGGGTTGTAATAACTAACCTCGGGATGCCAAGAGCTTCAGCAAGAAAAATACAGATGACAGCAAGTGAGCCCTCGTGCTGTCCTGGAGAGGTGATAACTCGGGTTGGGGGGAGAAGCTGAGCAGTTGGATTAAATCAAGTCAGGATTTATCAATCAATCAATTTGCTGATTTATTAATGACACACAACTAGAGGCACCCAGGGTCAATCAGCAAATCCTGCTTTGTTCCCAAAGCTCCCTGGTTATTATTTAATCCAGCCAACGGCCGGCACCATCAGCCTGGGGCAAAGACCCTCCCAGGCTCCTTGGGGTCCCCTTCCTCTCTTATCAACTGTGCTTCCCCCCTCGGCAGGGACCTCCAGAGGTCTCCTGTCCCACCACCCACATCACTCACACCATCTCAGACCCCCTTGTCCCGCTGGGGACCGCCCAGGGCAGAGGTTTCACACCCTCCCCAGCCCCTCTTTCAGTGTTTGACCACCCTTATGGAAGTTTTTTTCTTCCTTTTGTTTCTAACGGGGAATTTCCCACGTTGCAAATCCACGACAGAAGGTCTCAGACTATCTGAAGAAAGGTTTATCCTTGGAGCACACGGTGCATGGTCCTAGCGAGCAAGGTTCCCCTCTCTTCTTCATCTCACAGACGCTGTTTAATTTCAGTGCTGGGAGGATTTCCACCTTTACCTTTAAATAAAACACTCAAGGTATTTCCTAATGTTTTATTTACAGTCCTAGAGCATCTCTTCTTGCTACAGTGACTTACGGCCATGACTTGTATGCAAAATCCAACAACGTCCAATGGCTTGGTGTCCAGCTGGTCTTGCCTTCCCCATCACCTGTGGTGTTAAACGGGAACACGAGCTCTTTGTGTCTTAAAAACACGAGTCTGTGGCTACGGCACCGTCGCTCTGCTCCTTGGGGCTTCCTGCTGGGGCTGCTGCTCTCAAAACCGAAAGTGTTTTGTTCCTCGTGTTGGCTGTATTTCGGGGAAGCGGGTGGTTCGCTGTGTCTAACGGACCTCTGCGGGGTCAGCACCTGAGCTTGGGAGCGGTGGGGAACACCACAGTTGGCTCAAGGAGGGAGAAGGAGCATCCAGCCTTCCTGGGCTCTGTTTTCTCGCTCCTGCCTGCACAGGAGTGCTCATGGGGACCTGGAGGAGTTCAGGGCGTGGGGACCGTGTTCAGCATCTCCTGGAGCGTGCTGGGTCTGCTGGTAGCTGGACCACTCGTGAGCTTAGTGCCCACCTGTCCTTAACCATGGGTAGAATTGGTGTTAAAAATAAATCCGTAAATAAAAGAGCATTGCCTCTGACATGTCTCATGGCTTCTGATTCCTCACGATTGAGTAAATCAGGGGAACTCTGCAGCAGAAGCGGTGTGGAGCTATGGGAAGAGCTCTGCGTGGTGGTTGCATGGAAAGAGCAACGAACTTCCTCGGCTTTAAACCTCTGGGTGGGGCAGGGTGGGTAAAATGTTTTGGGCACTGGAAAGCAGCGGGAGTACTTCTTTGGTTTTATTCTGTATTTAGTACTTTCGCTTTCATTTCTATTCCTCCAAAACTGCGAACATACGCTGGGTTCATCCACATTTTGGTTCCTCCCATTTCTTCTTGACTTGGCACAGCTCCTAGGTCGGTAACGTACATCATGAGGAACACCAAGAGGACCCGCAGCTCTGGGCAGGGGCTGGACCTCCATCACCAGGGAGTGATGCCCCGGTGCCATTGTCTGGGGAGGAAACAAAGACGGAAAATGGCTAAAATGGGTTGGGCTCTCCCATGGGTATGCAGACAGAAAGCAAGGCTGAAGCCTCACAAGTACAAGACATTTTCTGGCCCCTCCCCTTGGGCACAAGACAGTAGAGATTTGGGAATGACCCATCTGCCAAAACCTGAGTTTTGTGCTCAGCTGTTCTGGTTGGAAATATTCTGCTTTCAGTCTGCGCGCATCCATCCTGGGGAAATTTTAATTTAATTTTAAAGCACACGATGCAAAATGGCTTTTCAAAGGAAGCTTTTTTTTTTTTTTTTTTTTTTTTTTTTTTTTTTGCTCAAAATGCACAGTTGGGACCCACATGAACTTCAAAAAGGGAAAATGCTGAGTCCTGGCCATGGGGAAGGATTGCCCCAGGCACCAGGAGAGGCTGAAGAGCAGCTTGGCAGAGAAGGATGGGGAGGTGGCCACCAAAAGATGAGCCATCGATGTGTCCTGGCAGGAAGATGCCCACCAGCACCCCGGGAGGAGCCTTGGCAGTGGGTCAGGGGACTTTCTGAAGTGAACAACTGGCCTACAGCTGGAGGAATGGGGAAGTAAAAGCTGCTTTGAGGAGGGTGATGGGAGAAGAAGAATCATCCTGAAGAAAAGGTCATCTCGCCGGGCTGGAGAACAGAGAGCAGGGCTGCCCGAAAGGGGGAAGCGAGAAGGGAAGAAACGGTGATGCTCGTTGCTCAAACAGGCAATGCACGTGTTTTAGGGTCATCTCTAGTGGACACCATGAGAAGCATTTAAAAAAAAAAAAAAGAACAGAGGAAGGAAAATATACCAGGTAAAATGATAGTGCTACTGAACAGCAACGTTCGGGGGGGAAAAAAAGTACTGATTGAAATTCCTGCACCTAATTGCAAATTGCTGCCTAAGTCTGAGTTCACTGTCCCGACACACGCGTGGGTGATGCATCCAGCCCTGGGGCATGGGCTTTCGGAGAGCTGCATCCGTGGCAGTGCTGCTTGGAGACTGCCTCCTGGGAAGCAATGGTGCGAGAACATATTCAGGCATAAATGGAGAAATTATCTTGAAAAAAAAAAAAAAGGACAACATGATGGTGAGTTGACATCTGGGTTTTGTTCCGCTTTTTCTTTAATAGATCTCCTCTATGCAATATCCAGTGCAGAAGAAAATTAACGTAACTGATCAGATATAAAGCAATAATTTCCTTAAATTAATCCATTACTTAGAGTTATCATTTTTTTTCTCCCATGTTCCTGGAGAATAATGATAAAAAAAATATCTTTCAAATGTGAGTCTTCAACAGAAACTCATTGCCCTGTGTTCCACACCTCATTACCAAGCACTGCGCACAAGTCGAGCCACTCGGGCTCTGCGGGCATCATTTCCGAGGTGCCTGGGGGATCCCACCCCGAACCTCAGAGAGACACCGCGGTGTTCACCCCGGCTCTTCGGGGAAGGCTCACTCCATCTGCAGGTGCCCAGAGATACTTCGGTAATTTTTCCTGTGGGCACGGGGTAAAATTTAAATCCTCCATCCACATCGGAGGCTGCAGCGGGGAAACCTTCCTGGGTTCAGAAAGACCAGCGGAGCTTGGGTGCAAACTCCAGCTCAAGGACCAGGGAGTATCTTTCTGAGAGTGAGTCAGGATACCATTGATCAGAGAAAGGGTGGAATTTTAAGAGGTTTTGAGGCATTTTTTTTTGCTGGAAGGGCTTCCTTAACCAGTCCAGCCAGCCAGGAACCTCTCCATGAAGCAATATTGAACTTACTAAAGTCCTTCCTGAAGGAAAAAAAAACCCAACACGCGCTCTGGTATGTCTGAATCTTAATTCCTAACTCGAATTTTGGATAAAAATTCCTGCTATTAAAAGACCCAAGAGGTGCAAGGAAGGTGATGTGCAAGTGTAACTCAGAGCAGAAGGGAGAGGTTTTCCCCTGAAGCTACCTGTACATGAGATCGCCATCAGGGATGCTGGGCTCATTTTAATTGACCCAAACATATCACTGCGGAGTCAGAAAATTGCTCCAATATGGGCTGTTATCTATTTAACACAGCACTAATTAATGTGGCAAATCAAGGCATGCTACTATTGGATTGACTTGTCCCTAAATAAGAACACCCCCCAAAAAAGGGAAAGAAATCCTCCCAAACATGCCCATGCATTGGAAAGAATTTGGAGACATGAGAAGACACTTTGCAAGCCCAATTCCTCCCATAATGGGCCAGACAGAGATTTAAGTTTTAAGCTTTAAAGGTTTTTTTTCCATATTTGAACTACTGGCTATTATTTTGTTAATATATATTTTTTTAATATATTATTTTGGATCTTCAGCCTGCCCACTGAGGATAACTATAATTTTTTTTTTCCCCCCTAAATAAGTGGGTGCATTAGTGCAGGAAACACCAGATCCTGTGTTAGCCTGGAGCTGGGAACAATTATTTAACCTCTTCCCTGTGTTTCTTTGTCTCCTCTGTGCTGGCACCAGGAGAATGGCCGGGGGAAACCACTCGAATGTCACCGAGTTTGTCCTCTTGGGCTTCACCGACCGGCAGGAGCTTCTCTTTGTGATTTTTTTACTCATCTACATCACCACGCTGGTGGGGAACCTGGGGATGATCGTCCTCATCAAGACCAACTCTCAGCTTCACGTGCCCATGTACTTCTTCCTCAGCCACCTCTCCTTCCTGGACATCTGCTACTCTTCATCCATCACGCCAAAGCTCCTCTCCAGCCTCCTTGCAGAGAGAAATGTAATTTCTTTCCACGGTTGCATCACACAGTTTTTCTTCTTCGCAGTGTTCGGCACCACGGAAGCCGTCCTTCTGGCCGTCATGGCCTACGACCGCTACGTGGCCATCCGGGAGCCTCTGCGCTACTTGGCCACCTTGTCCCAGGGGGTCTGTGTCCAGCTGGTGGTGGGCTCCTATGCTGCCGGGAGCCTCAACGCCCTCGTGCACACCAGCGCTCTCCTCCGCCTCTCCTTCTGTGGCCCCAACCTCATCGATCATTTCTACTGCGAGATCCCACCGCTCCTGCTCCTCTCCTGCTCCAACACCCGGCTCAACAGGACGGTGATGGTCACGTGCATTGGCTTCATCATCACCGCCTCGGTCTTGGCCATCGTTGTCTCCTACGCCTGCATCCTGTTGACCATCTGGAGCATCTGCTCTGCGGAGAGCCGCCACAAAGCCTTCTCCACCTGCACCTCCCACCTCACGGCTGTCGCCCTCTTCTACGGCTCGGCGGCTTTCTTGTATTTCCATCCCTTTTCCAGGCACGCAGGAGGTCAAGGCAAAACAGCCTCCGTCTTCTACACCGTGGTGACCCCCTTGCTCAACCCGTTCGTCTACAGCCTGAGGAACAAGGAGGTGAGGAAAAAGAGCTACGAACAAGCTCCTCTCCTGTGTGAACTTCCACAGGCCCGGCTCTGACCAAACCGAACTGGGTCTTGTCTGCCACGGTGGACTCAGAGGAAGAAAAAACGTTGACAACTGATGGAAGAAAAAGGGTTGACAGTTGATGGAAGAAGGGCGCTGCACATTTCTGCACATCTGGTGAGATGTACCTGCTCTGCCTCGTGCTGAACATGGCAGAGTTTGAATTATGAGTTAATTCCATGTTGGGGTTTCTTGACAAATGAATTACCTGTAATTACTGAAAATTACTGAAAATCCTGAAAATACATAGATTGTCAGTGAAACTTTGGGAGTAAATGAATTTAAAAGCAGCACTAGAACATGCAGAGTTGATGCTTCTTACCGAAGAGGTTTTGCAACAAAATCAAATTCTGTGGCCTGAAAGAGGTGGCTCAGAGCAGAAGGGGACAAGCTCAATAAAGACGATGTGTTGGAGAGGGACAGTGTATTCCATAACTTTGTTTTCAAGTTTTCTCAGTAGTTGCCCAAGGTTTTGCTATAGTATAATAAAATCTGATTTATTCTTTTCTCTGGTTTGTCCAAGGATGGTCTTTATGGGGAGCAGCACACGCCCACGCCCCATATATGCCCAAGGTGGGCATCTTGCTTCCCTGGGTGGTCTCCTCCATGGAAAACTGCCAATGTCATCCAAGACATTGTCTGAGCAGCCTTGGCTTTTCCCAGGATGCCATCTGATGTTGAAAATGCAGAAAGCCCCCACGCTTCTGGCCATAGTATTCAGACCTGTCCCACTCGTTCAATGGCTCCAAGACTCTTAACCTTGGCCAGAACTCCCCCCCCCCACCTCCTCTCTGAGTTATGTGTCTCCATCCAGGCAAGGTTCATTTTCCATCCCAGCTGCAGCTCATTAACAATTTCTGCTTCCAGGTTTCAGGGGTTGAGTCACCTCGGTCCAGGAGTCATCCTGGCTAATTGTGGGCTTTCACGTCGGAATTACTCACCATCGGTTCCCCTTGTGGAGACAACTCTGCATCTGGGGGCTTTGAGTCATCTGTTCTATTTTAAACACCCACATCAGGGGGAGATGAATGTTTCTGGAAAAAATGTGTGGTTTTCTCTGCTTGCTGCTTGGCAGCGAAGGGCGATGGGCTGACACGGCTGCACGGTAAATGCAGGTTTCGTACAGAGCAGTCACAGTCGGGGTGTTGTCTGAAGAGTTAATGTAGGCATAGATTTGCATAAATTAAATAATTAAGAACTCAGTTAAATTAAGCTTATTCTAGTCTATAAGGGGAAAGCTTCAGCTCACCGTGCTGATGGAGTCCTTCAAATACCCCACTCAAAAGTGAGAAGGTGAAACTAGATTTTAACCAATAATTTATAATTTAGCTGAGCAGGGATGCTCAGCATCCACCAAACCCTTTCTGGAAAGAACAGGGAAGCAGACTGGATGAAGCCGGTGTCAGCTACGCTTTGGCACAAGGGTCACTGATACAGATATTGACTTCCTGAAGAAAGGTTTGTATTTTCCATGGGTGGACAGGAAACAATTCCCTAGATCTGATTAGACACTAGGACTCTTTGGTTTTTTAAAAGCAATAAAAAAATAAACTTTTCTCCATAAACCTGCCTGTGACTCTCCCAGATGCCTGGATCCAGCTCTCCAGGGTTTTAAACAACAGGATACCCCAGGTGACGTTAAAGCAAATTTCAGTGGAAGAGTTTCTGAATGGTTTTCCCTTCCTCTCCAACAGCAGTTGCAACACTTCTCCAAATCCCGAGCTATCTCCTAATCCTTCAGTCTCTGTTTCTTACACCAGTTTTTTTTTAATTCTCTGTGATTCCAAGAGATAAATTCTGTATTCCAACAGTTAGTTTTTTAATATATATATATTTTTATCTA